CACAGCATCTGATCCAACCTTGCTGCGCAATGTCAGCAAGAAATCTCCAGGCTCCGTTTTCCATGGTGAAAACGGAGAGAGTACATCTACGCACGAGGATCTTGCAAGGCTTAACCCAGGGAGGTCTGCAAAGACCTTCCAAGAATCTTGGACAAAAGCGGCCTTAATGGTATATACAGCTGCAGGTCACTGTGGTAGAGGCAGCATCAGAAAGGAAAGGGGCAATCTCTTGGACCACCTTCGCAGTGGTGGTGTGAAAAAGAGGGAGAGGACAACATGCTTCGTGCTGGACACTTTGCTAAATGGCAATCCAAAAGCAACCAAGGAGCTCCGAGGGTTTTATGCCCCTTCTTCAGAAGTTGTTTGTAACGTAAAACGAGGGATTTGATCTACAAACCAGCAAAAACTCTAGATAACACCGATCTGTTGCAAAACACTCCCAAAATCATTTTACAAAGCTAAAGCAATTTAAGACATTACTTCTTGATGGTAACGCTAACAAACACATATGTAAAATCAAATTCCAGGAATTACGAAAGAAAAGCTGAAACTCAGATGAGAGCAGATATGATACCACATTTCTCTACTGAGCCCACAACGTAAGTCTACTACCACAGAAGTAGCCAGCCCAAACCAAGTATCTTCTCTACAACTTCAATTTTTGTGTGTGTGTTATACACAGACAGTGAAAAAAATTCTTATGGAAAGAAATATTTTATTGAGCTTCCAAATGAGATCAGTCCATAATTCAGAAGACTCAGCTGGCTGCTACAGTGAAGAAAAAGAAGCCATTTATCAAATTTATGGCACTGCATTTTAAGACTTCAAAAATTCTGTTGTGAATACAAGTCAAATCAAGAGCAAACTTGAGCTTTAACCGATTTGCCTTGCATTGGTTTCACTTCTCACTTGCACCACGATAAGAGGCAAGGATGACCAACGGGAAAGCGTTCAGGTCACCCTGTTCTCGTGGCCAAGTGACCACCCTCTCTCTGAATACAGCACTGGCCACCCCAGGACAAGAGCAGGGCACACGTAAGAAAAGTCCGATTTCCTCCTCCAAACAACCACAAGGCCAACTGGAAATCTGATTCTAGCTGCCTATACCACACAACATTGAACCTGAAAAATATGTGGAATGCCGTAGTTTTTGCAAAAGCCATTAAATGTCTCATTAAGTGATGACAAACACAGGAAACTGAAGAAAATTATTTGCAGAATAAACTACTACAGAATAAATGTTCATACGGGGACCTATTCCAAAGTAATTGCACTTTAAATGCTCACAAGCTTAATTCAAAATGCTCTTCAATGGGGACAAGTCCTTAGAGCCTGCCTGTCCGGATAGATGCTACATTCATCTTGGTTGAAAAATCATCCACAACTGTAATGAGTGACCTTACTTTGTCCACCTGAACGGCAGGAGAAGATCAAACATGCTTGGAGGCTTCCTTCAGTTAGGGCCAAGTACCTCTAGAAACAGGTTAAGCCAAGTATCAATGATCTGGACGAGGGGATCGAGTGCACCCTCAGTCAGTTTGCAGACGACACCAAGTTGGGCGGGAGTGTTGATCTGCTCGAGGGTAGGAAGGCTCTGCAGAGGGACCTGGACAGGCTGGATCGATGGGCCCAGGCCAACTGTATGAGATTCAACAAGGCCAAGTGCCGGGTCCTGTACTTCGGCCACAACAACCCCATGCAGCACTACAGGCTTGGGGAAGAGGGGCTGGAAAGCTGCCTGGCGGAAAAGGACCTGGGGGTGCTGGTCGACAGCCGGCTGAACATGAGCCGGCAGTGTGCCCAGGCGGCCAAGAAGGCCAACGGCATCCTGGCCTGTATCAGAAATGGTGTGGCCATGCTCACTCAATTTTTAAAACATTTTTCACTGTTGATATAAATATTACAATCTTTATAGATGTTGTATGAATAAGAACTTACTGAAACACCAAAAGTGTTCTGGTTCTTAAAAAGGAAAAAACTTCAACACAGTGTATCTGATGATATATTAAATAATAGAATTGTTAGAATTACTAAAGTTGAGAATAATAGATATATACTTGATTTCATGGGTCAGTCTGCTTATTTATTTCTTGACCTTGCTGTAGAGAGACTGTTTTTTAGAATTGGATATTAGGAAAAATTTCTTCACCAAAAGGTTTGTCAAGCATTGGAACAGGCTGGCTGCCCAGGGGGGTGAGTCCCCATCCCTGGAGGTATTTAAAAGACGTGTAGATGCGGCGCTGAGGGACATGGTTTAGTGGGCATGGGGGTGTTGGGTCGACGGTTGGACTCGATGATCTTAGGGGTCTTTTCCAACCTTAATGATTCTGTGATTCTAGGTAGTAACCATCTAGGGACATTTAAACGAGTTGGTTTCCAGAGATCACCTCCAACTGTCTTCTCAATAAATACAAAACAAGGGGTCTCATATGTAAAACATATACACACACACACATATGCACACACAGAATGCCATTAAGTCCAAAATCTTGCATTGAACAGGGTGACCAACAGAACAGGAACAGATTTATCTGTTGGGACCACGGAGAATCTTAGGAGTTTGTTATGAATAACCACATAAAGCCCCTTGTCCCTTAAAAAAGCAAGTTGTCAGCTCCTACAAATTCAAGTATAAAGAACTGAAAGGAAAATGGGCGAAAAGCAGACTGCACTCAAAACTTCCCACTGGTCTTCAGGATGTATTTCCAACATCAAAATGATAAAATCCACACATTATCAAGTTTAGAGAGTTGGGTATCTAACACCAAAGAAAGCAAAAGCCCAAATACTGTGCTTTATTTCCTGGCAGATAAACTATAAACTAAAGAGTCCGATGCCATAAAAGAGCCAGATCTCTTTGATTAAGTTCTACAACAAATTACAAGCGAGAAGAAAAACCCTGCAGAACCTGAGATGTTATGGTCTATTTTAACTTTTGCTGCAGTCTGCAATCTTTATCCATTTTATCAAAGAATTAGACATGCCTAGCAAGCATGATGGCATCTATTCTTTCCTTGCCAGTTTAGTATTTTTTCCTCTCATAAAATACTCTAAGCTTGTCTTCAAGAATCCTCCCAAATCTCTAACCCTTGCTAAGGCAAGGAAGGCAAAAATGTTCAGCCTAAAAACACACTTCAGCATTAATCATCCTGTTGAGAAAGTGATCACATGAAAGCTGTGATATACCCCATTTTTCTGCTCTTTTACTTTTCCCACCTTCCAGTTTTCCAGGTGACCATTTCACTCAAGGAGAGAAAGGAGAGAGAGGAAAAAGTACAGCCAAATACAAAACGGCATCTCCAACAGAGGACAGGAACGTGTTTTTTCAGCTTTTACAAATCCTATGGTGGTAACCTCCTAAATGGTTGCTGGAGAGCGTCAACAGGCCCACATGTTTCCCTCCCAGAAAGCACACGGTCACTTGAAATTCCTTTGCGGTGCTCAGGGTTTTCAGCACATCCATAGTAAACAAAACTCAGAGGAACTTTTTAAAAATTATTCAAGTCCCACTCACACTGTGAGGAAACCAATGCGTCTCTGTCATCCTCAACAGAACCTCGTTCCCTGTACGGTTCTTTGAAAAATAAAGCATTGTGCCATGAATATCATCATCATCGTCATCGCTTCCCTGCAGGGTTCCAACAGGAAAGAGGGAAGAAATAGAAGGTTTACTTCAACGCAAGTGTGAGGAACCGTGTCATCTGCTTTCAGCCTGAGAGGCAGTGAGAAGGAGATTTTAGAAAAACAGATAAATAACAAAATGCTCATATTTGAGCAAAGTTATAGATCAAAAATCTATCTGGAAATGACTCAGATTTGTGTATTCGTGTTCCTGTTTGGAGCCCAAGACAAGAAAATGGCCTGGTTCTCAAAAGCTGCTTCATACTCAAGAGCTTCCACAAATTTCAGAAGCTCTGCAAATGCTGGATGTACCTCAAGAGCTGGATCTTCCCTGACCGGGATCTTAACTACGGGTCTGGGATTCATGCTTCAGATGCCCATCGCAAAGCGCACCTGCCTCTCAACAGAAGAAAACCCTGAAAATTCACAACTCTTTCTGTTGCTACCGATTCAAACCAACCAGTGAATAAACGTAAAATCCCACGTCAAGATTATCCACCCAACACAGCAAAGCATCAACACATCAGAGCACAACAATACAAAATATATATCCCATACACGTTCCAAAATCAGCGAGACAAATAAGCACTTACTTCCCATCGATTTTTACGTGAAGGCCATCAACCACCACCTACATGTACTTCCAGCTCTTCCCCACCTGCTCAAACCTTCTCCCAAACTCCCTCCCACGGCCCCTATCTCTTCGTTGGGCAAAGGACCACACGTGCTCCAGCTGCACGTGACCCGACCGGCCAAGGAGATAAATAAACATAGCACTGCCGTTGACGTTTTCCTCTCGTATTTAGTGATATCAATGTTTCCAACACAAAAATAGGAACAGAATGATTCAGTTGAGTGGAAGGAACAAGAAGGTAACACAGTTTAGACGCCTCTGGAGAACCGCATCCGCTCGACTGGCAGGTAGTCGAGTCGCACGGAAATAATTCTCAAAAATGTATTCTCAGTTCCAAAAAGTGACAGATTAAGAGCCAGTATTTTTTAATTCAAAGAGTTAAAAGACCATCAACAGGCAAAAAATTGATAGGTGGATTTTATTTATTGTCACTGAAACAAAAACTTTCATCTATTTCTTGAGGAGATGGACGACGGCATACAAGAATCCCGTAACATCAGACGGGACTAACCGATTCGCATTTGAAATCAGCAAAACAATGCCGTTTACGTAGTTTGGAAAAATACTGCAGAACACGACGAGAACACTTTTCTCATTCAATCATTTTGGATCGAGTATTTCTATGGACACGATGACTTACGGATCTTAAGCAGCCAAATTGAGTCTAATTGATGAGAAAGATCACGGTACGTTAAGAAACGACAGATTAGAAAGATCGCGGTACACAACGTGAACAGGTACAAACCTCTCCTTCGCAGCCAGCTTCTTCTCAGACGCACGATCTCACCCGCAAAAAAATCGAAGGCGGCGCTGTACAAAAATTACCTCGTTTGCACTTTGAAAGTGAGGCAAGAGTCACTCCTCCCCGAGCGCGCTGGCTGGTAACACAGTTCTCTAGGGGATGCTTCAAATACTTCTTTGTCGTACCAGCGCTGGGAGGAGGAGATTGGCAGGACGTCGCACGTCTCTCGCCTCGTGACAAGGGTCAGCCCGAGCACCTCCACGCCGCGGGGAGACGGCGCTCAACCATCCACAGCCGCCCGAGGAAAAGCCAGCCGAGCGGAGCACCGTCCAGCCGCACGTCAGCGCGCGCGAGGGGAGCTAATTCGGGACCGAAAGGCACAGTTAAGTACGCCGCAGTTTAGGGAGAGACTTTATGAATTGCAGAGGAAACAGAAAGTACACGGAGCACTTGTGCTGCGGAAAGGGAAATCGGGGGCCTCTGCAGATACAATCAAGCCCAAAAGGCATGACTGGAAGACAAATGAACA